TATTCCCGAAGACATTGTGGTTCCAATTTGTTGCTTCCGCCGTGAACTCTGCTATGGAGCTAAGCAAGTCCGTCCCCCGCTCCCAGGCTCCCGTCGCCATCTCATTAAACCCCTCATGCACTAGCCACGCCGCCAAGAATTTAAAAGGTTTTGGGCCAGCTGGTTGGAACATGGGATTCAGTGTAGCAAGGATCGGACGATGATCGCTTCTCATTCTAGGGAGATGACTAACAACTGTATCCGGCAACATGGCATTTGCCAAGGCCCTGTCAAGTTTCTCTTTAATTCCCGTTCGGAACCACGTGTAAGGGGGTCCAGTAAAACCCAGGTCGATCAACCCAGCATCCAAGACACAATTCTGGAAATCCCGTGCTCGTGCCGCATCAAAAGGTGATCCGCCCAGCTTGTCGTTCGGCTGTAGGATGGAGTTGAAGTCCCCCGTCAAAATCCAAGGCTCCGTTACCTCTTCCGCCATCGTACGAATGGCTTCCCATAGTTCCCGACGCTGGATTAGCGCTGGGTTAGCGTAGATTGCCGTCAGCACCCATTGGTCCTGGCCACTCTGAACTCTAACATGGAGGAAATGGTCACCTCTGTCAACCTCGGTGATCGTTACTACCCCTGAATCCCAAAGTAACCAAATCCCGCCCGATCTGCCTATTGCCTCTACCACAAGGTGTTTATCAAACCCCAGCTCTCGAATGACCTCTTCCGCTCTATTCCCACTGATTTTCGGTTCCACCAAAATAGCTATATTTGGTCGGTATCGCCTGCGATATTCCCTGAACACTCGCAGGAAGCGTTTACTCCCTGCCCCCCTACAATTCCATGTGAAAATTTTAATCATTGACACCATGGACTAATAGGGTAGCTCGGCATTCACTAGGAGACTCAGAGAGAGGAAGCCTCCTCATTGAGGCCCCCTCCCGACTTCCCATTAACATCGCCTAGTGGTTTCCCATGCTGATCCTTCGTCCTAATTAGTATATCCCCTTTTGAGTCATTCATAACTCTAGGATCCGGTGGCTTCTCCTGGATATTGCCAATGTTCTCTTTGCTAAGCCTCCCAATATCGCCTTGTCCCAGATCCATGCACGCGGCTTGGCTATCCTGGCTTGGTGGGGGTATGTCTCTGACCGGGTTTGTCACAATTTGTCCCAGTGGACTAAGTCGAGGAGAGGATGATCGGGTTTCCGAGGGTGACTGCTCCACCGGCTTGTCCACATTTAAGTGATTCCTGGTTTTGGATGTTTCACTATTGATCGGGATACAATCCTCCTTCTCTTTCCCCCTCTCATTTGCTTTCCCCTTATTTTTTTCCCGCTCCTCAGCAATAGGAATGTGACATAGCTCGGACGATGCACCCCCCTCACCCCCTGTCTCTTCCACCTCCAGTACATTAAACCGAGATCCATTTTGACTTTCCCTCCCTTGTGCCTGATCTCTCCGCTTTTCTTGACTTCCCCTCTCCAACTCTGGGTTCGGCCTGCGAGTTCTTGGCTTCTTCTTGGCGATCATCCACTCCCCATACACTGTTTCAGGTTGTTTAGGTTCAGTCCTTGTCTGGGCTATAGCGGGTTCCTCCACCTCCATATCCTCCTTCCGCCCCATGCAAGAACATCGAGCTCGCTCGAAGTACGTACCACACTGCAGACATATTTTTTCGAGCCCCTCATATTGTATAAAATATTTCTTCCCGTTGATCGTAAACTGGGATAGCAGAGGCCGAGTTAAATCGACCTGGACACAGACCCGGGCATAGTCACTTCGCGCCCCCGACATTGTTGCATGGTCTACCCGCAAGGGTTTCCCTATACGTTCTCCAATCCTCATTACCGCCACCGGATGAAAATAGTGAATCGGTAGCTCCAAGAGTCTAGCCCAGACAAGGGTCGATGAGATCTCGTGCTCATATGGATTAAAATCCTTTGTCCATGGATGTACTGTTAAGTAGTTATCCCCTATTAGCCACGGTCCACCCGTTATTGCTCTCTCGTAGTCTATCCCGCTCGTGAAACGAACGAGAAAGTAGCCTTTTTTAACCGACGTTACTTGAATCGATCCCGCCTTCTCCCATATGCCCTGCAAACGCTTCAACATCATCGTGTATGAAACTGTTCGCCCTAGCGCTTTCACCACGAGGGCCGACCTCCACTCTCGACAGAACATTCTCTCCTCCGCCGCGGTGTAGTGAATTGCCGGGCACTTAGGATCGTCCTCCCCGTCAGCGTCATGTTCTAACCCATCCTCACGTATACCCGCCATGACATCCTCAGAATCAGAATCCGCAATATACCACAACTCATTCCTGGCCGCATCGCTGAAGAGACGTCTCGCCGCCCCTCTTCCGTCCCCCCATGTCGGGGTTTTGGTAGCTGGCTGGGGCATCGTTTGTTGCCTATCACCTTCAGTCCTCTCCGCGGATCCTGTTACCTGACTGGAGGCTTCCAGGTTCGGAACGGTTTGTTTCGCCCTCTTTTTTGACTGCTGCGCCTCTCGCTCACCCTTAGGGTTTGGCGAGGAGGACTCGGTCGGGGGTCGCCTTTGTCCGGTCACCGAGTCATCCAGCATAGTAGCATCATGGCTGCCCCCGGCCAGCGGTGAAGGCACCGCCGGCATGGAGCGTACGATCGGAAACCCTACTGCTCGCAAGGAAAATTTTCGTCGCTCCGAGTTTTCCGGAAACCCTTTTCTTTTTTTCTTAAACGATTACTTTTGAACTCATTAAAGCACACACTAATTAAAAACAACAATCGTAATTTCTTCCCAATAACCGGTGGCGCCACCGAGTCATCCTCATCGCCGTAATTACGACAATAATAATAGTGTTGCGAGACAAGATTGAAGTAACATGAGATGACCGTGATTCTACATGCTATTACAATTACTCTTGTAAAAACATCAGGAAAAGAAAAATTAACTCGAAAAAACGATACATTCTTTCTTCATCGATAGAATATATACGCCAACATACATGTTTATATGAGCACTTCTACTATGCTATATAGTATTGGTGCTTTAATGTACAACTTGAAGTTGTACCATAACATTAAATGTATAAGTTAAGGTTGTACCATAAAGGAATTTGTATCATTATGTTATGGTACAACTTTACAACTTGAAGTTGTATCATCACATAAGGTATAAGTTTAAGTTGTACCATAAAAAAATTTGAACAAAAAGTATAGGTAGTACAATCTAAAGTTGTACCATAACATTAAAGGTAAAATTTCAAGTTGTACCATAAAAGTTAAAACCTATAGCACCAATGTTATATAGCATTGTAAAATTCCACATGTTTATATAGCTACTAATAGTACTCCTATTAATTACTCTGCTAAACCCTAGGATCGTTGAGGACATGACTTGGGCTGTCTTCTCTTGTCATGTAACAAATAGTCATTACAATCATTATCATTGTTATCATCCTCATCATGATCATCACAACCATACTGATCATAATGCCTGCGAGGATGGTAGAGGCGCAGGGCAAAGCCGATGCCTTTGTTGATGCCAAAGAAGAGGCCGGCAAATAAGGCGAGAGCCAGTACGACGTCAGGTTCCGGCACCCACCGTCCCTCTCGTCTCGGCTCCAGGCTGCCGACGGTGAAGCCAACGACCATATAAACGAGGAACACAAATGCAAGCCTGAATTCCATCGCATGGACGGTCCTCATGGAGGCCGGAAACAACAACTGTACCATCCGAACAACTACTCCTTTCTTCTCCTTCTCCTTCTCCTTCTGTCCCGGTAACCACCAACGTAACACATAAGCTTAAGTTATTGAATTTCACGTAAATTAAATACGTTTATAAAAATTGATCAATACACATACCGTCTTGGAAAGATGAAGGATGTTGAAGTATCCCAGCTGTAGGTAGATGAAGAAAGGAACGTAGAGGAAGAGAGCGGTGTTGACGATGGATCGGACGGTGTCTGTCGGGGCGATGAGCCGGCGGAGGAGGAAGAAGGAGATGAGAAAGAAGAAGTACACCCTTTCACCCCAAAACCGGTAGACGAAAAGCACGCTTTCTGCATCTTCAGCTTCTAATACTGCTTTCCCCAGTATTCTTGCCATATGATGGCTTTCCTATATATCCTGATTATGAGTTCGATGCTAGTTTTGGGTATGGATTAGAGTCACAAATAACAAACAATCGCCCGGATATGATTTAATGAGCTCATTTTTTATACTAGTCATTGTAGTGAACAAACTTTAGGATTTTTCAGCCATAAATATAGTGACTTTTAGTTTAAGTCCTTAATTATAGAAATTAGTTTAAGTCGTCGTACATACGCTCAGTAAGGAAATTAAAATTCCCCAAGTTTTTTTAATCAACATTTTCTCTTCTATGAGCTTGGCCACACATTACATTTATGTACATTTTATATATATGCAATGCATGCTTCACTAGCTAATTCTGCCCTACGATTATTATCTTCACAGAGTAATAACTTAATATATAAGTTATCCGAACGAGATCCTTGTAATTACTTGATATTTCTCGAGCTTGATATATTAATTTATTGCTATTCCTTGAGCTTTGGAATTCGTTATTTGATTGAAACTGATGTCAAGTATTGTGCACTGTACGATGTATAGGTGGTGATAGTCTAATTTCGCGTACGTTTAGTCGTGCCTAGGTAGTAATCGCCAAGGTTCTAAGCAGATTATTAGGCATTCATAGCATTAAGGTAGAGTTAGGCGCCACCTAGACGATGCTAGGCGCAATGACTTCCGTTATGTGTAATTAGACTATCACCAATAGATTTAGAACTGTCTGAATTGTGTGCGGCAGTGACTGGATGACTGCAATGACTTCCGTTATGTGTAATTTTCTGCATGAATTTGTTTGTTTGAAGGTTTCGTGGTTGTATGGATTCGAAGATGTTGATTTCCCGGTGTTAGAGTCTGAAGCTTTGTTCATTCGGAAAGCTGGAGAGGAAATTAGGGGCCAGGTTGGTGTGCTGGTCCGAACTGTTATAATTCTCAGTTTCTCAGCCATAGGTGTAGAATCAATATTCTGTGATGGATGAAGAGGAAGTAAATTGCAATTTGATTGCTCTGCTCAAATGTTGGTGCTTAGGACTCTTAACTAGAATGCTTTACAGGTAAAAAAAACCATTGTAGGTTATGAATGGTTCCCTTCCTAATGGTTTCCCTTCTCTGCAGTTGTACTGTTTCGAAGATCGTTGGAATCGCCGTGTTGCTTTGAGGCCTGACCTGGCTCCTTCACTGGCTATGCTGGTCATTCGGAAAGAGTACTCAAGCTTCAGCCGCATTTGCTCTTTGCTCTTTTTTTTTTTCTTTCTACTTGATGTTTGTGCTGGACCTGCATTGCTGTTTTGGTGTTTGAAGACTTAAAAAACTGTGTATTGATTTAAGTATTGCTTATGCTTTGTATCCAGGTACAGATGCCAGAATTGATCTCCGTTTTTTTTTTTTTTTTTTTTGCCTAGAAAACCTGCACCTTTGCCATTGAAATGGTTTGCTGTTGGACATTGTTGGCAGTATGAGAGGATGACGAGGAAATGGACTCTTTCTCTCTCATTTGTGATCCGGTTTCACTCTCTATCTTCTGTTTCGTTCTAACGTTCTCTTCTCTTTTGTGGTCTTAGTTTTGTATATTCTTCACAGCATGCACTCGACTCCATCGAGGAGGGTCATGTGCATCCTTTATCGCGAGAATCCCTCCGGTAATCCATCTCTATTCTTCCTTTTTGGTTTTGTTGTGTGCCTAATTATTTTCTTTACTCATTCAATTTCTTGGATTCCAATTTGTTGATAGCTAGCTCCTTCTAGTATATAGTTGTCCACCTTTTTTCTTTCCTTCACTAACTGGTGGTGTTATATTTTCGTTTCTCCATGGCAGATTCTACTCAGGCCCGGCCCAGACCCTGTGCTGGTCTGACCCACAGCACAGGGCCTCAAATTTTGGGGGCCTCATAATATATAACATTGAAGCGGAGGCCCATCCAAACTGTGTCTCATATAATCTCATATGCTACACCTTTGGCTGGCGAGGCCCACAACCTCATAATTCACTGGGCCTCATATAATCCCAACACCTTTAACTGGCGGCTCACATTGAGACCTTATAATCCATTAGGGTGGACGTAGCTGGCACCTCTTGGGCTGGCAAGGCCCAACCCCTTAACCAGGCGGAACCACAAAAAAACCACAAGGATTAGGAATCGAACCATGGATCTCCTTTCCATTAAAAAGAGACTCAACCGTTAAGCTAGAGGTTGTTTGATGAATTTAAATTAACAGGTAGAGCATTTAAAGCATTTCTTCTTCTCTTTCTCTAAAATTTCTCGCCTCCCCAAAAACATCCAACGCCTAAATATTAATTATTCGCACCCAATTCTAATTAACTCCTAATCAATGACAATCCCTACTATCCGGGCTCCTAATGAATTTGTTTTCAAGTTCTAACCTTTTTTTTCTTTAGCAGGGAACTTAATATTGATTGGAAATTTGGAATAATTAATCTTTGGTTATAATTTTTAATCATGTATGAAATATTGCACTCAACAAATTTGGTTAGTAAGCATTTAGAGTCCAAAGATATACTTATTGATGATGCTATTTTAGAAATAGATGGTTTGATTTTGTTTTTCAAAAGATATAGAGAAGATGGAAGGGGTAATAAAGAATTTTATTTCAAATAATACTAGATGATTGTTACTTTTTGAACAATAATAGATAATATTATTACTTTTGTAATTATTTTTTGTACTTATGTAATTTTTATTATTATTTAATAAATTTGTGAGGAAAAATTTTAGGGCCACATTTTAAATTATCGAACAGGGCCTCCGAATATCATGGGACGGCCCTGATTCTACTCTTGGGTTCAGTGGTGTGATGCTCATCAAGCTTTACTCTTTTCAAGACTAGAATAAGTGCACAAGACAAATGGTAACTGCTATTGTGTTTTCCCCTCTGTTTATTCCGTTGGTGCTTCAATGGTTTATTTTCAGTTCAGATTCTCGATGATTACACAAATAATGTTTTCTTATTGTCCTTTTTACTGACAATGATTCCTCTGTGTGCTGCAAGTCTTCTTGCATCCTTGCATTCTCTTTGAAATTTCAATAGACAGGGTTGTTGGCTTTGGCATTAGGAATAGACATTTTTTGGGTTAATTGCATGGTTGGTCACTGAGATTACAAAAAACGTTCATGTTTGATCACTGAAAATATTTAAATCCAATATTGGTCACTAAAATTAGTTAAATGGTTCAAGTTTGGTCACTCACTGTCCAACTCCGTTAAATATGTCTGATGTGGCAGTCAACCCTCAAAATTGACCGTTAACTCGGTGACGTGACAATTAAAAAATAATAAATAAAATAAATTTTAATCTTCTACCATTTCCAACTCATTTTCACAATAAAATAAAATAAAATTAAAAAAATTTATTATAATCACAAATTGAAAGAGTAGCTTCCTCCTCCGCCACCAGCCCACCACATCCCTTCCCGCAATCCCCTCCGGAAACATAGAAAAAAAGAGGATAAAAAATGGCTTCTGGGTTCCCCGGCGGAGGAGGAATCGGCGGCAGTTCAGATTTCAGAAATGCCCCTTTCTCTATTCAGATTTCAGAAATGGAGCAGAGAGCGTAGCCCACCACCACGCTGCTCGTCGCGAGCTGCTTCGTCGACTCGGGTCGAATTGCAGACATCTTTTTTCACTGGTGGGATTCTCACTTACCCTTTTCTCTGTTCCCGGGAAAACAAGCAAAACCCTTGAACCAGAGGTATAAAAGGAAGAACAAGTAGTATACTAATTACCCAGACAGTGACGGATTTGGACTAGAACCCAGATTCAGAAATGCCCCCAATCGATCTCCAGGGACGGGATTGACGGAGAAAATGTCCAGCGGGCAAGTGAACCGGGTGGGATCCGAGAGGGAGATCCCGAATCGAGGGAAAAACAGGGGAAGAGGAGTCGAATCAGTAACCCGCAATAAATGGATGGAGAAAATGAAGGATTGATTTTGGGAAGTTGATTTGATTGGCTGATAGAGCTGAGGTCACTGCGCGGAAGAACTAAAGAGTAAATGCGGACAAAGGAAGATTTTAGAGGAGACGCAAGAATTGTGATTATAATATTTTTTTATTTTTTTATTTCACTTTATTGTGAAAATGAGTTGGAAATGGTAGAAGATTCAAATTTATTTTATTTATTATTTTTTAATTGCCACGTCACCGAGTTAACGGTCAACTTTGAGGGTTGACTGCCACATCAGACATATTTAACGGAGTTGGCCGGAGAGTGACCAAACTTGAACCATTTAACTAATTTGAGTGACCAAGATTGGTTTTATATATTTTCAGTGACCAAACATGAACGTTTTTTATAATCTCAGTGACCAACCATGCAATTAACCCGACATTTTTTGGTACCTATCAAGTTCATCAGTCTAGGAGGAGTGTGATTGCTTTTTGTGAAATTAGTATCCAAACTGCAGTTCCCATTTGATCACTTGACTATGTCCTGTTTCTTGCTCATGTTATTCTTGCTTGCTTAATCGATCTATTGATGATGCTTGACTGTTTAGCTTCTGTATAAAACGATGAGTACACATACATAGAGGTCGGTTGGCTAAGATTTTTCTTCCTATCCAAGCTACTGTTCCATTTCAGTAAACATGCACCCGTTTATGATTTTTGACATCTACGTGGTTCAGTTCTCCTATCTTATTACTTGGAGTATTTATTTTAGAAAGTCTAATTATGTATTTTCTGTTAGGATTAGTAATGTGTGTGTGGAGTAAGCAAAAAAGAAGGCTATAAACACTTTTGATATAGGGAGGGTTCGATTTGTAGATTGTATTAGCATTTTTTATTTGGGAAATTGTGAATATGTAATAAAACCATGAAATCTTCTATTATCTCATGTTTAACTAATGCTTGGGGCGGGAAATTGAACATTATACTTGATTATCTTTTGGCAGTAGCACTGAAATGTCCAAAACTGAAGTTTTGCGTATGTTGCTATTGCTTTGAATCATTAAGTAAATTTAGTGGCCATTTTGGAACCTCGGTGTATTATGAAAATGTATATTAAGATTGTATTGAGATTATGTTAGGGTTTCTTCTTCGATTATCTATGGTTTGCAAGTGATTTAAAGTTCAGGTTGTAATACCATGGTGATTAGTGATTACGTTCTCCGAAGAACTTCTGTATGATTACTAAACATATCTTTTTGTGCCTTTCATTTCCAGGATATCTAATTAGTTATTCCTTTCCTTTCATTGCACTTGGATATCTGCTCGAAGGCAGGAATGGTTGAGTGTCCACCCTAGCATCTTTAATTTCCATAGGAGAAACCATTGCAGTCAAAAGCGCGATTCTATATAGAAGCGGAAAAGGGGTAAAATCGTAAAGAGTAGAATTAATGCATAAAAGCATAAGTTTTTTACGCATACTGTAAAATAACTACAAATATGGTTAAGTACGACATATACTATGTAAAAGATGAGTGCAGAAAATTTGGATAAGTTAATAAATATATACAATTCATGTCTAAAGTAGAGCAACTTATAGCCTCTAAATAATAAGTTCATAAACATAAATTTTAACAATAAGCCACTTTCTCCTCTATGCTAATGAATTTGGGAAGATCCTAGGTGGTGAATTAGATTACTCTATTGAAACTGAGGATGCATCCAAGAACCTGGTATGCATATTTTAATCTCAAAAGTATCTTATTTTTGGCAATTTACCTTCAAATATTTACTTTGTATAATTAATTTCACAAAAAGAATACTCATTTAGTAAACTAAAAGCGTAAAATCGTAAAGCGATTTGGTTACCTAGAAGCGTAAAAGTGTAAGGTTTTAAGCTTTAAAGCGCAATTTAGTCCGATTTTACACATTTAAGTTTTTATATGGAAACAAATACGTTTTGGTGATCTAGAAGCGTAAAACCGTAAGCTTTTAAGTCTTAAAACGCGATTTTAACTGCATTGGGAGAAACTGATTAGATAGATCGGCAAAGGTTAGTCACCCTCCTCTATGGCTCCATCCAGTCTCTTTTCTTCCTCTCCCTATTTCATGTTGTCTATCCAGGTACTATTTTGTGGTTTAACAATTAGAGGATGAAACAACAGGTAATGGAGCCGGTTGTTTGTTTGAAAAGTATTCAATTGAGTTCTTGATGTGCTGGCTTTTAGGTGATGGTTGGTTGAGATACTAGAATCATATAAAGACCTTAGGAAAAAATAGCGTGTATAATTCATATGATTTACACGGTATGTCACGACTGGTATTGGCAAAGGTAAATATGCATACAAATGTCACTGTTGTGAAAGTGCATTGCTTAGCACTGCCTATTACCTCACCAGAAGGAATCGAATGGTAGGAGAACAACATATTAAGAGGTGATGAGTTGAGGCTTCTTAGTCAATGGATTATGGGATACATTGGTTTATGTATAACTTTATCTGTTTGATTTGTGTCGCAGATTTCCGTAAATTTCATACTGAGATTGCTCATCAACTGCTTCATTATCGCATCTCCGTAATAATTTTTATTGCTGGTCGCTGTTTTCCCAGTACGTGCATCTCTATGGGGAAAATGAGAGCACTCGGTGGTCTCATGGACATCTTGAGCTTTTGATTTAGGGAGGGTTCGATTTGTAGATTT